TACACACCACACACACACCACACCACACACCACACACACCACACACACACACACCACATACACACCACACACACACCACACCACACACCACACACACCACACACACACACACACACCACCACCACCACCACACATACACACACCACACACATATATAGTGATTTTTTTCTCCTAAATAAACAAAGGTTTATTTATATTTTTTACGAGCCTGTTGGTATTTGTCCATGATCCTTTCAAATGGGCAGCTTTGGCTGACAGTATCTGTTTCTTTTAATATAGAGATACATGTTTACTTTCTGTGTTTGTTTTTTTTTAATCCCTGACACTTGTGCTGAGTGTCACACTTCACTGTGATTTCTCAAACATTCAGTTTTCAGAGGGGCGCCCTTCCTGAATTTCCCTGCTGTTAGGTCACTTGAGCTATTCTGTAGCTAATGTTTATTGTGTAAGCTCCTGGGATTTGGCTCTTGGAAGTACAATTGAGGATTATTTGAAATGAAAAGTAGAATAAGGGTAATTTCTCAATGTGATGTATACAGTGGCCTTGAAAGAAATGTTACTAAAATAATCTTGCAAGCCCATTCAGAGGCTCCCAGGAATGCCACAGTCACACAGATGTCCTGGAAGGCCAGCCATCTCAACATCCCCTTTGACCTAATGATTCAGTGAGGGAAAGGAGTAGGAATTCAACAAATACACACAGGATAGATGAATGACCACCAATCTCAAAAAGACAGCTTCCTGGAAACACTGAGGTTCCATCTGCATCTGGTTCAGGCTCCCTCCCTCCATTTTGTCAAAAGCAGGTCCCTTACTGTTCTAGCCCATTACCCTTTTTTCTTCCCATTTCAGTTTGCCACATGCTTTCTCCCTCGGCAGCATCTTTTGTCCTTTCTTCTTTACAGCATAATTTGAGTCAATATTAAATAATGGACTAATAGCCTTAATTTAAAAAATCCTCCCCCTCAGTGGAGCAGCCAACATAACTATATTGCCTTTCAGAGCCACGCCGTCTCTCACGCCTGAATGCGGTCTCTGACACCACTTCCTTACCCTCCTGAATTGCTAAATTCACTAAAGCCAGCATCTAGCTCTCTTTCCTACAGAGATCGCCCTTGTTAAGATAACGCAGATACCTCCCTGTGTGTCTCTGCTCAGCACCACTGAGCTGTCTGTTTGAGAATGGTAAACTTGGTTATAGGTATTTTACCACAATAAAATCTTGCTTAGAAGAGAAAAAATAAATACATAACATGGATCCTTTCATTGCTAAATCCAGCCATCAGTGACCGGAGCTCTCAGAGCAGTTGAGCAACCCTGAAGCAACACTTCTCTTGGCTTCTGTCATCCGACATTCTTCAGGGCTTTCTTCATTTCTTGGTTCTTTAGCAGTTTAAGTCTTAATTACTCTTTTTTTTTTCCTGTTTTACCTAACCTCTAAAATTTAAAGTTCTCTGAGCTATGTCCCAGACTATCTCCTCTCAATTCTACCTAGTCTCTCTAGGTAATTTATAGTATTTTCCATGATTTAAGTACATAGGTACACCCTTGACTTTTGAAATTATGATCTCACCCAGATCTCTTTTCCAGAGATGTCCATTTCAAATCCATCTAACCAATTGATAGTACCCCAGCCCTCTGACATGTCTAACAGATACTTCAAACAATAGATTAGAAGTTGAATTCCTGTTCATTATCCTCAGATCTGCTCCACACGTTCTGCCCTGTCTCAGCACCCAGCACTACCATCAAGTTTGTCATTGTCACTTCTGGCTACATCAGCCCCACATATAATTTGACTCCAAGTCTGGCCAATTATTCCTTCAAATGAGATATAGATCATCTACTTTTCTCATTTTTCCTACCAACACCCTAACTATAAACCGTCATTATTTTTGAACAAGCTACAGCACTGCCCTCACTGATCACCCTGCTTCCCCTTGGTCTCTTCCAGACTCTTCCTTGCCATGCACTAGCTGACAAAGCTCTCAAAACCAGTCATAGACAAGGCTAACCCAAATGGCAGGGAATGGTCTGACTTATGCTTGTTTTTCCATCTCACATTTACCTCCCATTGTATTGCAGCTTCCACTGGCCTTTAAAAATACTAGGTCCTCAGACTCCCAAGATTTATAAGCTTCTGTATGGATTTTGCCCTCCTCATCCTTGGCTGCTCATTCTTTCACTCAGTAACTGAGTAGCCCCATGCATCTCTACCTATTTGCACTTGCACCAAGAAGTCTGACATCCCCCCAGTCCAAGCCCTGTTCTCTCTGGGACAAGGTGACCCACTCATTTAGAAAGTGTTCATCAGGATTCCCTTCTTTGCCTGGCATAATATGAGGCATTGAACAAAACAGTCTCGGATTTCTTGCTTGCATTTTAGCAGGAAGACAAACGACAAACAAGTAAGTGGCAAATGCATATTTCAGGTAATTGATGAATGCCATAGGGAACAGCACAATAGGGTTAGTGAGATAGGATTCTGAAGGGAATATTTTGTGTAGGGTTGTTGGGAAAAATAAAAAAAAATAGCTATAGAAAATGCAGAAATCTCAGCTGGGTACAGTGGCACTTGCTTTTAATCCCAACACTGGTGAGGCAGAGGAAGACAGATCTCTGTAAATTTGCAGCTTTGCATAGTGAGTTCCAGGACAGCCAGGACTATGCAGAAAGACCTTGTCTCAAAAAAGAAAAGAAAGGAAAAGAAAAGAAAACGCAGAAAACTCAGGCAGGAGAATGTTGAGGTGCCAGGCAGCAGGAGTTTGGTCACTGCCACAGCAAATTACCGTAAACTCAGCAGCCTAAAACAACCAAAAAATTGTTTTCTCATGGGTGTATAGTTCAGAAGTCCAAAATGGTTCCCAATGAGAGAGGGAAAAAAAGACACATCAGGTCCTAGTTAAGAATCAATTTCTTGCCCTAGCTTCCAGAGGCAACTGAATCTTGATCAACAAAGGACACCTTCCAGGCTGGTGAGATGCCTCAGTAGGGCTTGCACCAGCTTGCACTTGCCTGCAAGCCATTATCCCTAGGACCCCAATGGTGGAAGGAGAAAACCGGCTACTACAAGTTAAAGTGCCACATGTGGACACACACACACACATGCATACACACACACACATACATGCACGCACAGTCACACACTCACACACAGGACATCTTTCTCCATCAACAAATGGAGCAAGTACAGGCCATGACTTTCCCTATTGCATCACTCTGAACTTCTGTTTGGCTTCTCATTCTCAGCTACCCTGACTGCATCTAGCACACTTGAATGGCCCAGGATGGTCTCTGCATTTCAAGATGAGCTTTAGTGACCTGCAGTTCATTTGCCACTCAACTCCGGATTGGCATGCATAATAACATGTTTATTGGGTTCTGTTTTTAGGATGTGGGCATCTCTGGGAGCCATTACCCTGCTTTGCACAAAGCTAAGGCAGACAATAGCAAAAGGAAGCACACGGAGAGAGGAAAGGCTCTGGGATCTGGACCAGATGGGAGGCATGCTGTGTAGCATTTTGCAAACCAGTGGAAGAAGTAAGGTAATCTTAAGGAGGATTTTGAGCTGTGGTGTCATGTAAATTAATTTGTAAAGATTCTCTCTAGATGCTGTGTGGCAAACGTACTACAGTTCAGGAAAGAGTGTGATCAGGAGACTTCCTTAGGCTGCTGCAGATACAAGCATGTGCCAGTTTCTGCCAGAGTGACAGTGGGCTGCAGCCAGATTTGGGGTGTTCTTTGAAGTTAGAGTATAGGGTATTTGGAGGATATAAAAGGAGACTAGGACAAGGTGAACTACTCCAAGGACTTCATCTTCAGGACTTTTTTTTTTTTTTTTTTGAGACAGAGACTTACAAAGAAGTAGGACTCATGGGGACAAAAACTGGGAATTTGGTTTTGGAGTATCTGAGCCATTTTTCAGACATGTAAGTAGAGATGCAGAGTTGGGTCCATGAAGGTTCTGCTGTTTGAGCTGCATCCTGGTTGAGCGATGGGATAAAAGTACCAAAGAGCTAGTATGTTTTAACAACCATCCCTAAGGACAGGATGTTGAGTTTCTTAAAATGCTGCATGTACTTATTTTCTTAATGGTTTTTATAGTATGCTCAAAATAAAATAGTTAAAGCTATTGATTCAGTGTTAAATTCTCAAAGTAAAATACTTTATAAAAATCTCATCTTGACATACAATGTTTTAGATTTGATTGGTAAACTACAATGTTCTTAATGATCAGGTTTCATTTAGATCCAACTGAACAGCATTGTTTCACACTCAGGCTCAAGTTTAAGTGAATGATATACTGTCTGATGAATGGCAGTGGTCAACAGGTACACAGTTACAGTTAGGTGAACAGTGTAAACTCTGTTACACGACACAGTGACTTTAGTCAGCAGGGAACTGTGGGAGAGAGCAGAGAAATTCCTCAGGAAACTTTCACGGAAGACTTGACTCAAGAGAGTTATCTAAATCCAGACAGAAAGGAAGCAGCTCGTGTGAGATTCTCTGGAATGAGAACTCAATAGTTAAGCAGCAGCATGTCACTTCACTTTGGAGTTTTACAAGCTAGATTGAAACACAGTGCCCTGCTCTTTCCCATGGAAGGATTATAAGTTGGCGCATCAATTTGACAATAACCTGTCAAGATGACGATGTGCAAGCCCTGCTACTTAGCAATTTCTTGTTTTGGTGACATGCCTTAGAGAAAATCATAATCTCCCTCAGAGATCATCTGCAAACATGTTCAGTGCAGCGTTTCCTGTGATCTCCCGAAGCAACCTAAATATTTATGAAAATGCAAGGCAGTGCTATATAGGATTAAAAATAAATGACGAACCAAAGCTTACTAGATCATGGGCTGTGTTCTCTGTTCAGTCAACAGAATAGAGGGGGAAAAAATACTCCAAGATTTTAGAAGTGTCAAAAATGATACCACTTTTATCTTAAACAACGATGACAACGACAACAACAAAAACCCACTTAATTTTCTGAATACTTGTTAATTATTACCTTATCAGCACATCTTATTTTGTGAATAGTACAAACAGCAGCCAGATTGCCAGGGTCTGATGCTGTCACCTACTAGTTATATGACAGTAATTAAGTTACAGCCCCAGGTTCATAAAGAGAATAATAGCACCTACTTCACTGGGTTGTAGCAGGGATATGGTTATGTATGCAGTAAGAGTGTATTGCACACAGACAGGTATCAAGCACTGTATTTGTTACTGTGTGCTGTTTATCTGTATGTTATCTAACCACCTACATGCCTAACACTGTTCCCATATTTTAAAAGTGTAATATATCAGTTGTGATGAATGGAAAATTTAGAGCAGAGTATGGAAGGGAATAGTTTCAGCTGATTCTTTACTGTTTTGTTTGTTTTTTTAAAAACTGAAATGAATGAGACGAAATGATAAGATTTGTCAATGTGAGCAGTAAGTGCATTGCTGATTGCCTTATTATTCTCTGTATTTTTCTGTGCCCCTGCAATTTTTTTTTTTAAAGTCCCAGAACACAGCTGGAACACAACAAATATCTGGTAAATGAATGGGCGATGAAGCAGTGGTGGGGACTGGGAAGCAGCCCCAGAAATGTCCAGCCAGGTGCCCCTTTTAGTTTGCTTCCTAGTTATGGGAGAGAGCCACCGGGTATGTTGGCCATTAGGAGGGAACACTTCCTTTAAACCACGTGGATTCGGGGAGACCGTGAAGTGGGGCTTTCAAGGTTCTCCTGGAAAATGATTTGAGCTTCAGAGTCTCTACCCAGGTGAACCAATCAGTTAAATGTGAGGGCAAAATAAAATCACTTTAGGAAGGGCACATAGTCAGAACACAGACCACACAAGACCCTCCCTGGAAGGGCAGCTAGACAGTGTATTCTGGGAAAATGAGGGCTGAAAAGAGGAAGGCAGGAAGGGCAGGGAATTTAGTGACAAAACACAGTGGAACTAAAAATAATTACTGATGGAGGAGAGAGGTGCAGAGGGAGGTGAAACAGCGGAGCTTCAGCTAAATCCCCTGACGGCTCCTGCTTAGAGGACAGCAGACTGCACAGGGCAGGCTTTCGATTGTTCAGCGAGGAGCTAGTTAGAGTGAATAATTGAACGTGTTGACTTTATAAATACGATTAAACAGCTCTTAACAATTAAAAAGTCAACCATCGGGAAAAATTGAAGAAGCAAAACTTCCCAACCATTACTTTTTTTTTAAGTGAAATAAAGGGAACACCACAAATCTAACAAAGGAGGGCAGGAAAAGAGGGAAAATATGCTAAATAGGAAACAATTAAAGCCACCGAAGTGGCTAGGTTGGAGAACCAGCAATGCTAATGTGAGTAGATTTACCACACTGGAAATACGGAGAACTTCAGGTTAGAATTAACAGAGAGAGGACCAAAAACCTTAAAAACTATATGCTATGTGTCTACAATGCCTAAAACACAGTCACCCAGGAATTTAAATAAAGGTAATAGAAACAGATACACTATGTAAATGTCAACCATACAAATCAATGTTATTTTTAAACATTTCAAGCAGCAAAATAAGAATTTGGTATATTCTAATAAAATAATTAAGAGACTTTATACTTGAGAAATACTGAATATGCAGTTTGTTTAGACTTACATGGAGTTTTTACCAGAAAA